CCTCTTGCTGCTAGTCCCAGTTCCTGCCTCCACATCCCAGACTCCTCTAAATCCCCAGTCCTTTTCCCCTTCACCAGTTTTCACTCCTCCACTCTCACTCTGTCCCCCATGCAGGGCAGGGAGGCATTGCCTGTATGCCCCTGCTTCACTCTAGTGGGACACTCTGTCTCTTGGTTCTGTGCCATGTTCACCTTCCAGCTGCGGCTTCTCACCTCTTCACATTCTTTCAGTCAATTCTCCTCCTTCTGCTGCTCCAAGGACAGCGCTGAAGGCCAGACACAACTCTTTGCTTCTTGTACCCAACACTTAAAAGGCTCCAGGTCGCCAGAAGGAGTGGGTGCAGTGAAAGCCCTCAGGAGTCCTGCAGCTGCTGTCACAGCCACTCTCAGTGCAGGGGGATTGGTGAGAATTGAGCTGCCAATCTGTGATACATCTGCTGAGATGTACATCAACTCCACTCTTCAGAAGGTCATGATTTGGCTGCATTTAAATGGAATTTTATAGGAACAGTGAGGTTATATAGGTTCATGCATCTCCCTGAACCTAGTGACTGTCATGTTGAATATTAAGGTTCATTGTAGGGAGGTTCATTGTAGGGAGGTTCAATTCAAGGTTTTATATTTATTATTATCTGCTATTTCCCCATCATCTTCCTGAAGATGGTATAATCCATTGGCCCCTGTTACACACTCTGTGAAGGCAATAAAAGCTTCATGTGGGGTCTGTGGTGGAGAAGGAGGAATCTTTATAACAGAGAAATTGTGTGTATCAGCAAATCTCATTTACATTCTCCAACTCCACAGACTGAATTGACTGCATACTTTTTGTCTTAAAAATAGCTCCCTAACCACTGGAAAAAGACCCCATGATTAACTAAGAAAATATTGCATGAAATCTGAAGTTAGTCTGAAAATTTTGTGTTTGCGTTGTCAGTGCATTTTGTGAGAAATCTCTGCTTAAGTTGGATTTACTGTAAGCAGATGCTATTGGCTGTTGGGCATCCCATGAGGGGCTGTGGGTGGTGCATTTCTGTGGTGTGCACAGTGTATGAGAAACGGGTTGGCATCTTGGCTGAATTCAGCCCCAGAGAGGATTCAAAACTGTCAATATATCATGAAAAACATTGATCTGGTGTTTAGGTTTTACAACAAAACAGAAATCTATGTTTAACCTATGTCATAAGTTTTCTTCCAAGGCCTGGTCTGACCTCCATTTGAGAAGTGGAAGTTTTTCCCCTAGTGAAACTCTGGTCAGCTTCAGTGGCTGCAGGAGCTGCTTCCTTGTGATGTGTGATTGTAAGCACTAAAATTACCTTAAACCTTATTAAATCTTTCAAACAGAAGTTTGACAATGTCCCTTCCCTAACCTTAATTCTCAGCTGTAACAGAAGATGATGCAAAGGGCTGGACAGCATCTGATCAACCACTAAATCATCTTCTTCAGTCACAAACGTAGTCCTCATCATAAACATTTCAGTCTCCTTGAGCATGGTTAGACTTTTTCCTGCCATTTTTTCAGGAAACCTATGCCTGATGGGAGTGGCTAGATAGTCTCATGATTTTAGACACTGTCCTTTACCACCACATCTCCATGTTTCATGACATCTTTTTCCCTGTACACTTGGGTTTTGTTCCCTCCAGGGACATTTTGATCCCACAGTGCCTGCTACCAATTCCAGTGTGGTACAGAGCATTTCATAGGAGGTTCTCAAACATTTACTCAGGGCTCCAAACTGCAATCAGAGCCTGGGTCTTCTGTCTGAGGGCCAGACACACCTAAAATTTCTGGTTCCTTTGTGTATCTCCATTAAAGCAAAGCCACAGTGTGTCCAACAAGCAGTATTAACCACAGCTAGCTGCTGTGTGCCACCAGAGCAGCGCAGAAGAGGTAAGATGTCAATGAAACCCGTGTCCTGTGCAAGTGGTAGACCTGTGTGGCACATACCTACCTCACACCAGCTGTGTAGGAAGCTCCTCTTCCAGACTGGCTCCACTGTCATATTATAATAAGGGGCGACTTTTGATGGAGGGAGACACTTTGCACCAGCCTGTGAATCTGCAGGCTGCTGATTCACGTGTTTTTCTTCTGGAGGGATAGTGCAGCTGAAGGATGAGGATTTTAGTCCCTACTGCCCTCTCCATGTGCTCATGGGGGGACACCTGCCTGCTCCTCCTGACTCCCTCCCAGCTTGTTTTTCCTCTCATCCGCTGATCCTCATCCACTGGACGGTGGGTCTGCAGGGTGCTGTCACCTTGGCTTGTGTGCCCTTTCTGGGCAGCAGCAAGTGTCTCTCCCTCACAGACACTGAGGCAGGTGCACTGGTTCCCCTCTCACAGGTAGCAGTCACATGCTCTGCCTGTACCCTCTGCACATCCACCCTGGCTCTCACCCAGCACTGATGGAGGTCCAGCAGCAGCCATTCCACCATCCTCATGGTTGGCATGTGCTTGCATTGCTATGGTTCCCTCCCTGCCACCTACAGCACGTGTGGACAGTGATGCTATGCATGCCATGGCTGGCTGGCAGCTCACCATCTCAGCCTGCCCCCAGACAGAGCACAAGGCTGGGGATCCATGCAGGCATGCCTTTGGAGAGTCTGGAAAAAGGAATTGACAGCTAACTCACATTTATTTTTAAAAAGCTGCTTCCCTAATTATCATGCTGAGTGATTTTCTGGCTTTGCGGTGTGAGTGCCAGCTGTTTAATTCCAACAGAAGGGAGGCACCTTGAATTAAGTCATAAAATCATTTTGCTCCACATGACAGGTATGGTGAACCATTAGTCATATAGTCTAAATGAATAAAAATATTCATATTCATTGCCCCATTACAGTTTATGTCCTTTCTTGACATAGCAGTAGAATTGGCTTATAAACTCTCAAAAGAAGGTTATTCTTAGGAGGAAAAGCTTTTTCTTATCTGTATTGAAAGTGAACAACGAATGGTAATGCGTCTGTGGCAGTTGTTCTGAGCTTATTGGTAACAATTCATTGCAGTTCTGCCTAAGCGAAGTGTAAACAAAGCACGATCAACTTCTATATAACAAATTTTGTTCATGTATTTATGTGATGAAAGCCAGTTGAGTTATACTGATTTGAGATTTCCTGGCAAATTCGTCAGCTGAGGGATTCTCACTAATGAAAATGTCAGATGCCTGGATCTGGAAAGGCTTTGGCAATTTCTTTTTTATTTGTCATCTCTGAGAAAGAAATATATCCTGACTGCGTTATTTTATTGACTTTCTTACTACAGCAGTCATAGCATTGTCTTCGTTTAAATCACAGGTCATCAAGTCATGAGACCTGGCTTTCTTTCTGGTATGACTAGAAACGTCTTGTGTATATAAAGGCTTATGAACCATTTTCCAGTTTAGCAAGAGAAGTGTACTCAAAACTTCATCACTGTTTTTTCCAGACAGTCAGGCAGGCAACTTGAGTGATCATGTGTCCCAGATGAGCTTCTATGCATGTAACAAGATACCTGAATGCACAGTTGTTCTGATTGCATAGGTAATCAGTTCCTGCATTATGCATTGGATCAAAACTGGATGTTTTTCCTCACTTAAATAGGTGCATGAGGTTCCTGGGCTGCCTTCTTTCCATTTCAGAGGTGGTCATTGCACTCATATATCTGATGGGAATGTTTCAAAGCTACCATTAATACACACATATTAAGTGCACTGAAAGGACTGCTCAGAAGGTGCAACACTGTTGCAAAACTAGTGTCTAATTATACCTCTCTGGAAACAGTGGGAAGTCAGGCACCCATGCTGATGTTTCCGCTATGCTTTTAGGCATTATGGACAAGGTGTAGGCTGGAAAACAATTTTCTTCTGCTCTTCTGAAGTAGTTACAGCAAGCACTGGGCTAAGTCAGTACAGCTTGGTGCTGTATTGCAGCCATTCTGTGAGCCAGCACGAGGAATTGCTGCCCTGTGTCCTGTCCCTGTGGTCAGGCTTGTGCTGCTCACCCCTGCCCCTATACAGGTGGCAAAAGTGATAGCGGGCAAAGGAGGTGTGGATGGATGCAGGTGCCCCATGAGAGCACTGACAATTCAGGTGATTAGAGCAGTGCTCAGGTTGCCATGCTCTGCTCAGGTGGCCAGAAGTGGAGGGGCACATGGGAGGCTTTTTACTTTCCCTCTCCTCTTTCCCCAGTCATTTTAAACACTCAGAAGCTGTGATTAAGAAATCAAGGTGAATAGTTTCATATGTGCTTTGGTCCGAAAGGGCTCTTTCAGGAGTGACCTCCAGGCCCTGCTCTGTGGCTAAACCCATGAAAAACAGATATAGCTGATGGTACAGGAAAGTGCACATGGTAAAATTTGAATGGCAGACTAAATCCAGCAAAGTTCTTGTAACAGAATTGTGCTGAATTTTCCTGCTGCCTGGTAGGCTTTAAAGTATGAGCATCATGTCTCAGCCCAGTGTGGGCCATGCAGGTTTTTGTGCAGGATGGGCAGAGCTTTGCCACCAAGAGCAGCCTGATGTTTTTAATGGGACAGGCTTATTTTCACCAGCTGAGAAGCATCAGGCCTGACACTCAGATGGGACATTGCCATGGGACATAATCCAGCGCTCAGTGGCAACCATCCATGTAAGTTGATAGTTGCATGACCCACATAACTTGACCTGTTATATGGGTCATGTGTAGAGCTTTTGGAGATGTCTGCTTTTGGATGAGAAGCTAAATCATGATCCAAATGCTGTGTAGATATTACACAGACATAATTGGGTTTTAATATTTTTAATTAATTTCTGTACAAGAATGAAGTTTAGCAGCCAGGCAGGAAAGGAAAACATAAACTCAGGCACTTTCAAAATTCTGTGCTGGAAATTTTCACAGTAATCTTTCATTCTAATTGGCTTCTCCTGGACTGGATACAAAGATTAAAAACAAAGAAGAAAACGTTAATCTGGGGAAAAAACACCAGGGTAGGCATCAACTACAAATAATTTTATTTGGAAATGAACTAAAAATGTGCTTACACATATTCTTCTCTAAGAGTGAAGATGATTTTGCTTCTGTCAAGCAAAGAATGGAGTTCTAGTGGCGAGTCATGTGCTTTGAGTTAAGTGTGTGATTTAAATACTTTGGAGGAATCAATGAGGCAACATGTGATGCTTCCTTGTATTACTCAAGTATTGTGATCCTAATGCCACTGGAGTTTTTACAGAAAGGTCAAAAGCTTAGGTTCTGATCTCAGAGACGTCTGATCCAGTTGCAGTTTGCAGTTTACACCACTGCTTTCCTGGGAATTAATCTGGTTTAAAACTGTTCCTGAGATCAGAATTTAATTTCCTTGCAACTTTTTCTTTTAGTCTTTTGCTATTAGTTGTTTTGTATAAAGTGGATGTAGTTATGTGATTTTTGGAAAGGGGATGATATAAAAATAAATGATCAAAAAATATGCATGGGAGCAATTGCAAAAAGGAGAGATTTGTCTGTAACAGGCAGCTCATACCCTGGCTCAATATCCAGCTCCATTTAATGCAAAGGACACTCAGTGGATTTGTACTGGTTTGATTCTCACCCTGTTTTAGTATTACTTATCATTTAGACATTGCAGTGGAATCTGTTTTAATCTTACATCCCCTCTCTTTTTGTTTCAGGTATTATTTTAAAGTCCAAGCAAAGAATCCCTTTGGTTATGGACCCGTTAGCTCTTCAGTCTCATTTATCACAGAATCTGGTATGGTTTGCCTTTTATTTTCATCTCAAAACTGAATTCCTAATAACATTTGTGGCAGGGCAATGACTGAAATCAGCATAATGGTGATTATCCTGAACTTGCTGCTTTGATATTTATTTATGTTTACTATAATTCTTTGTTTTCAGTAAAGCTAGGGAAAAGATGTGCCTTCTTAATGCCACTATGAAAATGTGACAGCAAAGTGAGTTTCAAGGGACCAGGCAGTTGAATTTCAAATACAAAACATGACTAATGTTCAACAATACAGAAGAAAAGGGAAGTTCAATGTCTTTGTTAGACTGACCAAACAGTTAGTAAATTGGTTCCTAATTGTGAACAGCTGAACAGTTGGAAGCGGTTGTCTCTGGAAGAAATATAGAAACCAATAGTTCCATCAGACAGGCAAATTTCTGTGTTCTGGTTTTTTTTTTGGCAAGGCATACTGCACTTTCACAGGGCTAATAGTGGATTCCAGAGCAACACCCCCTTCTAAAAAAAGTATGTTAAATCAGCTGGGTTTGCCTGTTTCTTCTTCTTCCACTTCCATTGAGCCAGGGGCCAACGACTACACTCAGTAATAAAGGACAAATTATTCAGTCTTTACTTGAGTGAAAAGACTGTTGTTTCTTGCAAATGTTGCCCTTTTAATGACATGGGGTTTATGCAGTCTCTGCCTTTGCTCATTTGACTTCACTCAGTAGTGCTCGCTTCAGAAGCTGCATTAAGAACGATGGAAGCTAGTCTTTACAGAAGGGAGACAGAAATGCAAGATAAGTGAATGTTCCTGCATAACATATTTAGAATTTCCTCAAAGGAGTAAGAAGGTCAAGTATAAATCCAAGCATAATATTTAACATTGAACAAACGCAGCAGTGTGCCCAGGTGTCCAAGAAGACCAATTGCATCCTGACCTGTGTCAACAATAGTATGGTCAGCAGGACCAGGGCATTGATTGTCCCCCTGTACTTGGCTCTGGTGAGGATGCACCTCCTGTGTTCAGATAAATCCAAGCATAATATTTAACATTGAACAAACGCAGCAGTGTGCCCAGGTGTCCAAGAAGACCAATTGCATCCTGACCTGTGTCAACAATAGTATGGTCAGCAGGACCAGGGCATTGATTGTCCCCCTGTACTTGGCTCTGGTGAGGATGCACCTCAAATCCTGTGTTCAGTTTTGGGTCCCTCATTTCAAGAAAGACATTGACATGCTGGAGCATGTCCAGAGAAGAGCTGTCAAGCATTGGAACAGGCTGCCCAGGGCAGTGGTGGAACCACCATCCCTGGAGGCATTTGAAAGGCATGTAGATGTGGCATAGTCCAGCTCATTGTTATTAAAGGTCTTTTCCAACCTAAATGATTCTATGATTCTTTGATTCTATGCTATGTATTGCAGATAGTTTTCCTGATTAGCTGACTGTCAGTACATGGACCTGAATGCCTTGTTTTCCCATGCAAAATTGGCTACCTTGTGAGCTTTATTTAACATGTTAAGTCCGCCAAATTGAAAGTTTTGTTTGCGCCACTGATCTTTCATTTGTCATGTGGCCAAAGGTGGTTTTCCAGCTGGCACAAGTACAACATCAGTTGCTAAATCCAAAGCCA